GACTGAAATTGTATAACAGAAACCATGCCCTCGGCACTCAATGCAGCAGATCCTTGTCTGCAAAGGAGTGATGCTCCTCCTTTCCTTTGGCCAGTCTGTCCTGACCAGCTTCCCAAAGCAAATGGAAACGAGCGTCACAAACTGGAAATTAAAAGCTCAAAAGCCCTGTGTCACTGTTGTCTCTCTACCCCTCAGCTCTTCAGCAGTCAGGATGAGGCTGTGCCTCAGCTGCCCCTGCTCGGCATCCAAAATTCAGGCAGTGATAAGAATTGGGGTGCCTGTGGCCATGCACACAGCTCTCTGTTTTGAAGGAGAGGGGAAATTATCCAGATCAGATGCTGTGTCCCACTAACCTTCTGGAGAAAACCTTTAGTGATCTGCCAAGACATCCTTAGACTGATAACAGCTTTCCCAAGTGCCAACCAACTTGGAGGCAATAGGGAAAGCTTAGTAAATAAACCTTGCTCGATGCCATGCTCATCCTCATGGCATCCCAGGGCCTCTTGGCAGCACTGTGGTGTGTTGACTCATCCAGTGGACATGTTGTTTGTTCTCTTCCTGCCAAGAGAAGCATGTGGATGGCTTGTTTTGGTAGGGTTGTTTGTCTTGTTTAAATTATTTCTTGGTATTTGTGCTTGAGGAGAGAGCTGGCAGCAAAAGTGGGGATGCAGGGAGATTCCCATGAAGAAAATTCCCCCTCTTTTTGCTCATAAATGATGGAACTGCTCCAGAAAGTGAGGAAGACGATGGTGCATGACCATGATCTACTCTATGCCCTCTAGGGATTATTTCTAGTAGATTTCTACTATTCCCTCAATAAAGAGTCATTTGCCACAAGTTTTAACTGGCACAAAGTCAGCAATCTGGTCCATGGTACTTCGTGGCCAGAGCAGATTTGAGGAGCTCTTGTCTGTGGAGCTCTTGGACCAGCCCATGCCAGTTTGGTGTTGGGGATCATAGGAATTTTGTGCCACTCAGAGATGCCAAGCAAGCCTGGCACCTTTGCTGCTATCAACAGGAGCACAGGAATTTATCCACAGTATCATTTGAAGATAGCGGGAGTTGCAGTCTCAGCCTCTGCCTTCAAGCAGGGAAAGCTGATGTTGTGGCTCTGGTGGAAAAGGACATTCAGAGCAACAGTTTCCAAAGGAGGCTGAGTTATTATCTTGCTCAGATAAGCCCAGGAATACTGTGTGGAGCTATGTGCACACAGCAACAGTCGAGTGCTCTGAGCAAGGGAATTCAGAACTGTCAACAAGGAGGGAATTACCGCTTTGGGGGATTGAAAACATTCATAAAAAATTCCTGGCTCCCAGCCTAGTCCATCCCATTGCTGGCTGTACTCACAGTTGTGGATTTTTGCTTTGAGGGTGGATTTCCAAGTTTTTTTTCCCCACTTTGCTGTAACACATGGACAAAAAGGTGTATCTTAACCTGGACTAGCAAGTTCCAAAAGCCTTCAGCCAAGGGCCGCTGACACCGTGGGGTTTTGCAGGGCTTTGCTGGTTTTTCCCCACAGAGCTGCTGGCTTCTTGCAGGGGCCAGTGCAACAGCTGTAGCCTGAGCCCAGCAAGATGTATGTGTATAAATCGTGCTGCTGACAGTGGATTTTAGCTTGTGGCCGCCCAACAGTGCCTTTTCCAGACCGTGAGAGTCTAATTCCCCAAACTCGGAGGAGAGCTGGCCAGGAAACGTGAGGTTAAGATGACACTTCCCACATGGCCCCACTACATAACTTTAATTCTGTCCCCCCTGGGAATGGCAGTAGGAACTGCACAAGATCTTATCCCTTCTTGGCTGTACTTGACACATTCCCTCAACATAAACTCAAGATATCAACATCAAGCCAGAAGATTAGAGGGTTACATCTACACTGTTAAATGAAGGAGGGCCCTGGGTTTATCCATGGCCCCAAGGTGGATGGCTGTGAGGGATCGAGAATCATCATTCTTTTTGGCTTGTGGAGAGACTGAGTTGAGTATCTTTGGTCATGATGCAGGTGGGACCGATGCCTGGAGGCATCCAGATGGGATCCCATGGGGATTGTTCACTAAGAGCTCTGCGTGGATTTGGGAAAGGAGTGTTTGTCCTCATTGCTTGGCAGCTGGGCGCTGCAGCACGGCAAGTTAAAATGTCTTTGGGATCTCTGGCTTGTATTCATCCTCTATGCCTTACCCTCATGGGGATCTGTCTGCATTTCAAGTTCACATGGTGCCCTGATTTTTCCCTTAGCGTGTGCTAGTCTGCAGATACTGTTTTCCTGCCATGATTTCCTTTCTTGCCTCCTTTCCTGCCCTCCAGCCGGACCTGCTGTCAGTGTGTGACCTGGACACATGAGCTGTCCTTTATTCTAGTACCAAAAAACTCTACAACATAAAAAATCCAGACCAATCTTGGCAGTCTCCTTCAACAGGATTTATCTTCCCAGCACTTGCAATACCCTCCCAGCCCTGCAAAGCAATCCATCTCTCACCTACTATTACGGAGTTCATCTCACAGACCTAATGGAGTACGTGAGTCCTGAATCGGCTCCCACTAATGCTCTTGGTGGCTGGGTCGCTGTGGGAAGCAAGCTGGGAATTCATTTTGAAAATCAATGAGGATGCCAATAGAGCGGCTTTCCCTAGGGAAGTGACATGCTTTTACCAGGCATTGTCTCCTGCCCCCCTTCATCCCCCATTTTCATTTATGTGTTTGGAGTAACCGTGGAGTAACTCATCCTAATTTCAATGAGTGCATCTTTTGCGCTGTGTTCTCCGGTTTCCTCAAATCAGACTGATTTTTGGGGAAAGATTAAGGTCTCCTGGCAGTGCAGAATGCCAGGGCTCCCTGAAGTGTTACAATTTGGAGTTGCTGTGCCCTGGGGTGTTGCTGGGGACTGTCTCCTCTGTGCAGCCCCATCTCTCCCTCAGGCTGTGTTAGCACAAATAAATCAGTGTTATTTCTAACTCCTGCGTGTATTTTGCCTTGCCATGACATTTTGATGCAATGGCAAGTGCAGAGCCTGCAGGGATAGTGTGAGAGGACAGCTCAGAGGGACCCCAGCACAGTCCACTTCATAGTTGTCCCCAGAGGTGACCTTGATGCTGGGATGGGAGCACACTACCAACCTGTCATCCTCATCATGCCCAAAGAGTCCTGGCCAAAGCACGGTGCCATGGGCAATTCTTGCTGGTGATTCGGGAGGTGGCAAGATGGGGTTCCTGAGAGGAACTATTTTCTAGTAGCAAAAATAGCACCCCTATTTTTGATGGCAGTGTGGGTTTGGGGTCTCTCATCCTGGCTGATCTCAAAGCACTCAATTTGGAATTTTCATAGCTCTCAAGATTCCTTTTCCAGTGGGGATCATTCTGCACTGCTATGGGATAAATATTTAATAGGAATGAGGGTCAAGACACTCTTTTGTCCGAGGACACCGAGATGGCCATTTACTCCCATGAAGAGCCCCAGGGGATTTTTAATGCCCATGCAAAAAAGACAGGAATCAGGGTTTTAAGCTGTCATCCCCCACCATTAATGTCAGTGTTAAATATCGATCCTTTCTGTGTTTAGCACAAACCAAACAACACAGTCAAGCCAGGCTCTTTGGCTTTTATTCATGTATTTTTTGTGCACCAGGTGAAGTTTGCAGCAACACCAGGGAAAAAATGTAACAGCATTGAATGAACAGCAGACAGATTGATTTTGTTTCTTGACATGATTCAGAAGTTGGTGAAAATTCACCCTGTGTGGATCTTTTCCTTTTCCAAGCCACGACAGCCGCTTTATAGAGCACTCACTTCTCTGTAACATAAAGGAATCAGGTGCAAAATTTCTGGTAGGATCTGGAATTTGAGGGAAGGAGTAGAAAAAAAGAGGTTGGTAATCTGTAAAAAGTCCTTGTGTTGGAGCATGGATACCTGAAGTCAGATTTGAAGAGCCAGTGAACATGGTGTCAAGGAAACCTGAGATCAATCCCAAAATTAGTGGTGGCTAGAAAATGCATGGATTTCTCCTTTTTGTTGGGGTTTAGGTTTTTTCTGTGTTCTGTATCAGCACCAGATAAATGTAAATCACACTTATTATATGAAGTGTGACTTCTGTGAACCACAGTGAGTGGAGTGGTTTTCACATGTCAGGAGTGCATGGATGGGCTTCTGTGTGTTCTTCTGCAACCAGAGATGTGTCAGCATTTCCAAAATATTCTGCAGCTTGTGGGTTCTCTGGGTGTTTTTGTTTTGTTTTGGCTTTTTTGGTTTTGTTTTTTGTTTTTTTTAGTGGGAATTTACAGCTTGGCTGTAAAAATTCATCTGTGGTTTGAATTCATGAAGCACATTTATAAGAGGGCTGGAGTAGCTGGGTGATTATTCCTGCCTCTGGGATATTCCCCATTGAAATTAATATTTTAAGGTCTGTTTCTCCTTGGGCAAGGGAGTAGGCACTAAGTGTCATGCTTTGGGTCTGCATCCCTTTTTATTCACAGAAAACAGCAGCAACTCTCTTGTGGTCACAAAATCAATACAGAATTTGGAAACATGAGAATATTTTTCATCTTTGCTGTCATTATGTCCATCCAGATTCCCACCCCATTCCTCAGTTAACCCAAGTGTAAAGGGATAGCAGTGATGCCCTTACACAGAGGGTTGGAGGTGACTTTAATCAAATCTCACTGCAGTGTGAAAGCTCCTCTCTTTTAAATCAGGTTTTAGCAACCCACTGAGCACCCCATGAAATGGGTTGACATCCTGCAGACATCCCAGCAAGCCACTATTTTGTCACTATGTGACAAAATATTATAAAATTATGAAATACGATTTATGATTAAACATGCTATTTTTTTTCTTTCCATACATGGCACCTATAATTGCATGTGCTCTGACTAAAGCTGAGAGAACCACTTGGAGCCATCAGCAAACTGACCTCTCTAAATGCCAGAGCATTTACATAAGGAAAACCCTGGGAAGATGGGATGTGGGGTAGCTACATCTCCCACTCACAGGTGTGTTTTTTTCCCTGCACAGACACCCTGAGGAGCATCGCCTCCATGAACCACGCCCCGCGCTCCTCCCCAGCAGAGCTCAGCAGTGCCAGCCACCACCTGCTGCGAGAGCGCAAGTCCTCAGCGCCATCCCACTCCAGCCAGCCCACCCTGTTCACCTTCGACTCGCCTGCCAGCCACCTCCAGAGCACCCTGTCTGCCAGTGCCCCCCAGGACTACCTTTTCCTCCACCAGTGTATGAGCAGAAAGTCAGAAAACGCAAGGTATTGTAGCCCACCCACTCGGGGACAGCTGAGGGGAGGGCTGGGTGGGAGTGGCTCAACCCACCTCCATCCCTGGAGGTCTGCAAAACCCATCTGGAGAAAGTCCTGAGTGAGTGTCTCATCTTATCGTGGTTGGGAGAAGGTCAGGGTGGTAACCTCACAAGCTCCCAGCTTTCCTGGCTTTTCTGGTGGTGTTAAAAACTGGCTGAATGGCCAGACCCAGAGGATGGTGGTCAGTGGCATGAAGTCTAGTTGGAGGCCAGTCACTAGCAGTACCCAGGGGTCAGTATGGGATCTGGTTCAAAGGGACATGAAGTTGCTGAAGGGCTGGAGCATCTCTCTTAAATGGTAAGGCTGAGAGAGCTGGAGCTGTTCAGCTGACATGTGAGAAGGCTCAGAGGAACCCCCCCTGCAGGGAGGGTGCAAAGGGGTCGGAGCCAGGCTCTTGTCAGTGATTCCCAGTGCCACAGACCAGAGGCCATGGGCACAAATTGAAACACAGGAGAGCCCATCTGAACATCAGGAAACATTTTTTTCACTGTGAGTGTGACTGATCACAAGCACAGGTAACCCAGAGAAGTTTAGGAGTCTCCCTCCTTGAAGATATTTAGAAGTTGTCTGGGCACAGTCCTGCCACAGCTTTAGGTTGCCCTGCTTGAGCAGGGGTTTAGACCAGATGACTTCTACAGGTCCCTTCCAACCTCAACCACTTTGTGATCCTGCAGGCAGGGCCATAATTCCTGCCTTTAACCAGAAAAAGGACAAAGGGATGGGCAGGGTTTGCACCACTCTGCCATTCACCCCTTCCAGAGCTCACTGGGCTTCGTGGCAGCTGGTGGTGCACGGCGTGGGATTTCTGAGCCAGTGACAACTCCCTGCCTCCAGACCCAGCCAGTTGCCTTAAATAGCGAGGAGATTTTTTGACGTGAAGAGTTTTGGCTCGCAGGAGCGGGCAAGGAGGGAGGGAGGGAGAGACAGTCGGAACCCAGCTGGTGTGGAGTGAGAGCAGAGCTCGGGCTGCAGCCTCCATTGGGCTTTCCTGCTGCAGCTGACTTTCCCTACTTGGAAAACATCAACAGAAAACGGCTCAGAAAAATTAACTTCAGATGGAGTTAATGGAAAAAGTGTTTAAAAAAAATGGTCCTCTCACACTCCAGCTGTAAGGATACCTAAAAGCCACCCTCTGAGAACTTGAGCAGGGCTGGGACCTGGAGGAGAAAAGAGCAAACACCAGTGCTTTGGTGAGCAGAAGCAAACTGGCCAGTGGTAGCTTCTGCAGCTGGGCCAGAAATAATCATCTGATCAATGCCCAGTGCATGGGGCCAGGCTGCAGGACTGCTGGGAATCCCTGCCCTTTCTGCTCTGGAGCTCTTACTTTACTCATCCATAAAATGAGGGTAATAGTAGCTAATTGGCAGGCAGTGCAGAATAATTAACCCATAAGATGTTTCAAGTCCTCGACCGAAAATACTCTGACAGAACCCAAACCACTGAGGTCCAAAGGTGGCAGGGATTCATTTGTCTTATCGCAGCATCGCTTGCTTTTTCCCCTAAATAAGCCCTATTTCTGAGCGCCATCTCGTGCTGGCTCCATGAAACAGAGTCCCTGTTGTCACTGCAGAGCATCAGCCACACCAGAGCAGTGTAAACCAGCGTCTCCCAGCTTTTCCTATAGGACTGGCACTTCCCCAGTGTTTTGCCACGGCTGGAAACTGTCCCCATAACCATTTCACTTTCTCACACCACAATGATTGATACAGGGCAGAGCTTTAGTCTGTGGGCAGGGTGTTTATATGGGGCTGGCTGAGCCCTGACTGGGAGAGTGTGGTCCCCAAAAGCCTGACCCAGGTATGGGATAAAACAGGGATAAAGCAGGGATAAAACAGGAGATGAGGTACCTTGAGGGGAATCAGCAGAGGAGCAGTGGCTGTCCAGCAGTTGTTAGAGGCCCAAGATCTCTGTGCTCAAGCCCCTGTTCTGGCGAGTGTCCCCAGGCATGACCACGTGTAAATCAAGGAATCATTGCCAAGGCATAGATCTAGTGACCACACTGCCCTGCTCACCCTGGAGGACTCAAGGGCTTTTACAAATCTGAAATTAGCCCTGAGATTCATGCCTCCCTCCATGCACGTCAGGGCTGCAAACCCCATATCCCAGCTGGAGACTTCTATTACCTCCCCAGTGCTTGTCCTGCAAGAGGGCAGGATGATGACATGGCTGGAAACTTTGAAATAGTCCCCATCAGGAATTTTCTGCAGGCCTCCTCAAACACATTTGCCCGGCAGAGGTGAGATGAAGTCTCCTTCCTCTACTGCAGATGGGTGGTCAAGGCAAGATGGCAATTCTGGCAAATTGGCACTTTGCAGCTGTGCCCTGGGATGTTGCCAGCTGATCTGCAAATTGCCCTTTTGGAGCAGTTTACATCTGGACAAAAGGCTCATCCTTGCCTATGGCCCTGGAGTGCATGTACCTCTCACTTATGACAGAGTCATTTTGATGGTGTTTGGGGATTAAGTGGCTTGTGGGCATGGTTGGAGGGGTCTGAGGTGTTCCCATTGCTCTGGGGTTGGGCAGTGCAGGTCAGTAAGGTGATAAACCGAGGGAGCAGAGCTCTCTGCACCCAGAACCAGCTCTCCCCCCACTTCAGCCCCTTTCTCCCCTCCCTCTGCAGGAGTGCCAGCTTCTCCCAAGCCACAAGGTCTGCCTTCTTCATGCGGAGCGACACGGCGGTCCAGAAGCTCTCGCAGGGCAACGGGCACTGCGTGAACGGCGTTGGTGGGCAGCTCCACGGCTTTTACAGCCTGCCAAAACCCAGCCGGCACAACTCGGAGTTCAGGGACAGTGCCTACGACCTCCCGCGCTCCTTTGGCTCCTACACCCACCCCAAGTCGAGCCTCACCAGCTCCGAAACTGATAATGAGGAGGTCTACACCTACAAGACTCCCAACAACACCCTATGCAAGGAGTTTGGGGAGCTCTCCACGGACTCCTATGACATCCCTGCCACCCCACTCTCCATCTACCAGATCCCCAGGACATTTACACTGGACAAGAACCACAATGCTCTGGCCGTGGCCGCCAGCGACTCACCCGCTGCACCACCCCCACGGCCCCCGAAACCTGGGCAGACAGAGCCACGGTGGGGCAGCCCACCCCAGCGGCCCCAGCCTGGTGAAAATTTAGGTCTCACCCCCATGGCAGCCACCATTCCCCGGAGAAACACGCTGCCAGCAGTGGAGAACAGCAGACTGCACAGAGGTGAATTTGGAAGGGGGTGGACCTGGGGGTGTCTTTGTGGTATCCAGCAGCCTTGGGTGGATCAGTCCCACTGGATTGTGGCAGGGCTGGGGTGCAGGTGGCATCAACCAGGGGGTTGAACACAGAGAAGCTCTCCCCAGCCAGGATCTGGCCCTGTTTTTTGCATTCAGCAGGCATGGAGAGGCATCTGCAGAGTTCTGCCCACCAGAGCTGCTCAGCTGGCTCTTGGCTGTGTTGTACCTGGAACCAAAACCCCAAACGTGCTTGCTTATGCAGCCCTTCACCAGATTTTTGTTATTTTGGCCATTTTTAGCTTACCTTCAGTTCGTAACCAGATTTATCAGAACATACTTCAGCCTGTAGCTGCCTTGGTTTTGCGTATTTCCAAAGCCCAACGTGCCCAGTGCAGCAGAGCCAAAAGTGCCATTGGCCATGGGTGGGCTGTAGGTGTGCATGCCCTTTCCAAACCTTGTGCCTAGGATGAGATAGTTGCAAAGTAACTTAGAAAAGGTGGCTGGAGAGAAAATATGCTGTAAATTATACACATAGCTCTCTCAAATGCTGCTGCCATCTACTCCTACCTAAATGCCCACACTTAGACTGAAATCAGATCCACGCTCAGCAGGACAGACTGGTCTAAGAGCTTAGCACCCATCCTCCTCTTACTGGAGGCTGCCAGCCTTTACATTTACTGAGCAAGCTCTAACAGAGCTCCCCCTTAACCCGGTTTTGTCACCATGATCTGCCTTATCTGACACCTTTACCCCTGGGATTTTGCAGGACTTCAACAGAACAGGGTTAGGTCTGCACGCCAGATTGTGCAGTTGTGCTGATGCATCAGGGAGATGCTAATTGGGAAGGAGCATAGCAGAGAGCCTGTAACGAGCTAAAGTTCACATCTTCTCATCAGCATCTCAATCAACAAGATCAGATACTGCCCTACCCGTGCCTGGGTTTTGTTTTCAGGGACCCTTTTTAATTAGCAGTTGAGATGGGACACGTGCATTTGTGGTTGTGTTGCAGCTTCTTCTTGTGAGACGTACGAGTACCCCCAGCACGGGGGCGGCAGCGCTGTGCAGTCAGTCGAGTCCATGAACGATGGCTACAACTCCTACCTGGTGAGTTAGCCTTGGTGTGGGCCACCACACGACAGGCACCACTTGCACCTTACAGATTCAGAGACAGGCTGGTTCCAAGGTGGCACTCACAGCCCAGTCCTGCAGAGCTAAGTCAAGAAGGGGGTCTAATTAGTGGTTCCAGTTTAAAGATGGTGACCTGCAGAAAACAGATGGAGTGGCCACCACCTAACCCAGGTGGTGCAGAGCTTTGCTTCCACACAGTGTATCTGCCTGCAGCTTTGGCCCAAAAAACAAACTACCCAAGAGTCTGCCTTCTTCCTGAAAGCCTGGGATGTCGCTGAGCTAAATTTTGACATGTTGCCAGAACAGCCTCTTTTGTGCACTTTCTAAGATTTCCTGAGCTGGAGATGACATTAAAGCAGCCTTTCACACTAAATTTTAGTCATGGACAGAGACTAGGGAAGAAAGACTTTCCAGGTTAAGTATGCTTCTCCAGTTCACTGTGATCATGAGGAGATACTCAGGTCTGGGTGATAAAGACCTTTCTGAAAACTCAGGATGTTGCAATGTCCTGGAAACAAAGGAGGTAGAGCCTCTCATTGCAAACTGATGGGCGAGGAGGCAACAGATCATTCCTTCCCTCTGTGTTTAGATTGCAGATTGAGTCTCCCCTCAGGTGTTGTTTGGTTATGATGAAATGAAGGGTTTGTAGTGGACGGCGTTGAGCAGTGCCTGATGCTCACAGCACATCCTCCCACTTGTCCCCCAGCAGGCCAAGGCAGCGGTGGCCCGCTCCCACAGCACCGACTCCGAGGACAATTACGTCCCCATGAACCCTGGTTCCTCGCCCCTAATCCACGCTGAGAAAGCCAACGACAATGCCCAAAATCTCTACATCCCCATGAGCCCTGGGCCGCATCACTTTGACCTGGTGGGGTTGTCCTCAGCCACCCTTCCCGTGCATAAAGGAGGAGCCGTGGCCCAGTGCCACAGACGGCTGAGTGAAATTCAGCCCCCGCCAGTCAACCGCAACCTCAAACCCGACCGAAAAGGTAAGAACAGTTGGTTGTGCACAGATCTTCCCATGAAGATCTTCTTTTCCCTTCTTTATTCTCTTCATACTTCAGACTAGATCTGTAAAGTTTTGTCCAGTCCTGGGTGGGGTGTGCTTTGCTACTGCCAGTACAGTCAGACCTTCAGATGCCCCTCATCCCCTTCCTCTTTCAGGAGCTCTGTAGTGCAAGTGTAGCTTTCATGGTGCTTGAGCAGTCCATCTCAAACCCTTCCAGGCCTTTACAGGAAATGAATGTCACAGGCAGGATTTCACCCCCTTGGCCTGCACCCCTCCCTGTGCTCCACCCCAGAAGTCTCAATGTTGTGTTCAGATGACACAAATTTTTCCTACAGTATCCTACTGGCTGGTTCCAGGCAGTTTTTCCTTGAGGGCTTTGCTGACATTCTCCAAATCTCTCCCTAATCCATTGTCTGACAGGTGGCCAAGGAGATCCTGAGGATGAGGGCTCCCATCTCTAGGGTGACACCACCCAACCCCATGAACACTCTGTTTAAGGACTGGCGTTGGAGTGTAACACTCTTCCACCTAATGAACCATCCATAATGAGAAAAGCTTTCACACTACCTTGTTCTTTCCCATTTCCTATGGGAAACCACTCCACACAGAGGCATCTCAGGCCTGGCAGAGCCTGGTCTTGCCCCTATCTAATGCATTAGTTACTGCAGGTATCTAATGAATGGTTTTGGGGTTTGGGCATTTTTAGCATATCTCCATTCCCTGGAAGGCACATTCCCCTTTTGGGACCATCCATCCACTTTGGGGCTGTGGAGCAGAGGGAGAAATTCACTGTTTTCTCCCAGTTCTGGTGTAAATGAGCACAGGAGTTCTGGTTCAGAGTATTTGTCATCAGCAGGGAGGGCTGGGGGGCCGATCAGTAAAATGGGAAGTAATCAACCATCTGTTGGGGACACTCTCATGCCAGTCATGGATGCTGAATTGTAGGAACAAGCTGCCTCTGAAAAAAGTCTTTTTCCCTCCCCAGCAAAGCCATCACCGCTGGACCTGAGGAACAACACTGTCATTGATGAACTTCCCTTCAAATCGCCAGTCACAAAATCCTGGTCCAGGCCAACGTGAGTAATGGCTGGGGGATGAATTCTTGCTTTGCTCCAACAGCAGCTTTCTGGTCTCATTCTCACTGGTGTCCACATGTAGGCATGCTGTCACTTTTGCCATGGATTAAACATTCCCCACATCACAGCTGGTGGCAGGAGGATAAATTCTTTTCGGTTGGGATTTCACATGGAAGTCCAGCATGTGGCTAACAAGCTAATTAAGATCCCTTGAAGACATTTCCTGTTTCTGGGATCTGACCACTACTGGAGAGCCATGGCTCCGACCTGAGACCTGTGGTCCACCGTGATTCATGATGCAGCTGAGCCAGACCAACTCAGCCACGCTGTGTGGGGGGCATGATTGCACGTCCAAGCTATCCCCCCCAAAACCCCACTGTTGTCTCAAAGCATAGGGTGACTCTCAGGGTCTGACCAAGCTGTGTTTTGATTGCCTTGAAAGCAAAGCTTAGCCTGAAGGAAGTCTGCAAAATTAAACCAAAGCACTTCAGAGTTACGTCTGCTAGCCAAAAATAACAGGATTCGCACAATTCAGCTCTGCTACTAATTCATGGTCTGATGTTGTCCAGTAAAAGGCAGAAGCAAAGCTTGGCTGTTATGACTCCTCTAATAAATTGGATTGTGTGGAGACTGACTGCAGGGCATGAGTGCTGTGTGCTGAAATCACTGCACTGGGAAGCAGCGAGCAGGCTTTGATTGACAAGAGGTCTGACCCTGGAGAAGCTAATGGATTTTTCCCCTATCAGCTAATCATATGACCCTGCTTTACTGAAAGGCAACGAATAGCTTTTTGAGACACACATTTTAATGCCAGAAGCTGATTTCATTATTTTGTTCGGTGTAATTAGATTTGGCCAGCTGAAAGCAAGACAATTCCTCAGAGGATTTGTTTTCCGGCAAAAAGTTTGGATAAGACCTGTACGGTAAACAAATCCTGTAGCTGTGGTGAGGCTGGAGGTGAGAGGCTTTACCAAGGCTGCCCCTCCATCCTCCACAATTGAATGTTTCCTGTGAGATGAAAGAGTTTGTGGAATCTGATTTGTGTAGATGAGAGCAGGAGAGTTACGGGTACACAGCAAGCAAAGTGTTGCTAAAAAATTCTAGAAAGAAAAAATTGAGGAGACCAAACCCAGGAATTTCCGACCCATGGAAAGGACAGTCTGGAGAGCCTCAATGCCACCAGCTCTTCTTCATGCCCAGATTGCATCACAGTGATGGTTGCAGGCATCAGGGGCTGCCCTGTCCCATCCCTCCTTGGTGAAGGACAAGCAGGACCTGAAGCCATCAATAACACATCAACCCTTGTTCTTGCAGCCAGACCTTCAACGCCGGCTCTCTGCAGTACTGTCGCCCTGTCTCCTCCCAGAGCATCACCAGCACTGACTCGGGAGACAGCGAGGAGAACTACGTGGCCATGGTAAGGGCCCCACAGCTAAGACAGATGGTCCTGGCAGGACATGTACTTTCCCCAGCTCGGCAGATGCATTCCTAGCTCATGACGTGCTCAGATAGCACTGTGTGCAGTACTTCCTTATGTGCATCCCTAAATGCACAAAACAGGGTGTTTCCTTCTGAGAACGACGTGTCTCATTTGAGTTTTAAATGTGTATGAGAGCAGAAACATGTATTGCCTACTTCGTCAGGAATTAAGAGGGGATAAAAATTTATATGGACTGTCAGGGTGTATTTTCCTAATTAAAGTTGCTTTTTTTCAATTTTTTTTCCCCTAATAGCTGCTGACATCATGCTTCTTTGGGACCAGGGGCTATCAGAGAAGCAGCAGGGAGTGGCACTGCTTACAGGGAGGGGATTTTGTCTCTCTTGGTGAAGCTACTGACTTGAAGCATATTTTTGAGGCTGTGTAACTAATAGGGTAGAGGAAATCTGTGCTGTGTGCAGCATGGTTGTGATTAGTGAAGATCCCAGAGCTGGCCCGGCCTCTCTGAGGCGTGGTTCCTGGGAAATGCTGAAGCCCACGTCTGTTGTCAGGCATACGAATCAAATCAGCAGAAAGGCAGCAGAGCTGCTGTGAAGCATGAAATCAAGAGCATGAGCTTGAAATATTTGTCAGCCCAATATACAACATGTATAGTATCCCAGCAGTTCTTGCACATCCTTGTCCCAGTGGCAGGTGAGCAAATCCCCAGGATCTTTTAAAGGTGCCTCCAACATGCTTCATTTCTGGTTTTGTGTTAATTTCCTTTTTCCTTTCTTCCTTCCCATTTTAATCCTCATTATCTCTCCTGTCTCTTCCCTGCATTAGCAAAACCCCATTTCTGCTTCTCCTGTTCCTAGTGGTACCAACAGCCCAGCACCTAAAAAGAGTTCGGGGAGTGTGGATTACCTGGCCCTGGACTTCCAGCCAAGCTCACCAGGGCCACACAGGAAGGTAAGGGGGCTTTTATAAACTTCTGATTAAAAGTGATGCATTTCTAAGGGCTTCTGTGCACATTGGCAACAGCATGGTCCAAAGCCCCGGACTGTGGTCTCAAGAATCTCTGTGCTCAGAGCACTGGAGCATCTCTGCTGTGGAGACAGGCTGAGACAGGTGGGATTGTTCAGCCTGGAGAAGAAAAGGCTCCAGAGAGACCTTAGACCATCTTCCAGTGCCTAAAGGGGCTACGAGCGAGCTGGAAGAGGGACTTTTTACAAGGACATACAGTGACACTACAAGGGGTAGTGCCTTCAAACTGTCAGAGGGCAGGTTTAGATTAGATATTAGAAAGAAACTCTTGGCTGTGAGGGTAGTGAGGCACTTGAACAGACTGCCCAAAGAAGCTTTGGCTGCCACATCCCTGGAAGTCTTCAAGGCCAGGTTGGATGAGGCTGAGAGCAACCTGGTCTAGTGGAAGGTGTGTCTGCCCATGGCATGGTAGCAATGAGATGATCTTTAAGGTCCCTTCCAACCCAAACCATTCTGTGACCCACTGCTATATTTACTCTGGGTCAAACTCAGTCTCTCTTGCATGTCTGCAGCTTTGCTGGAAGTGCAAAGCAGAAGCATGGATGCGCAGGGTTCAGGGATGGTGATGAGACCACAAATTAAGCTGGAGACTATATATTGAAACAGTCAGGAGGTAATCTCAAGAAGTATCAGAATTGGTTTTTGCCTCCTTCAAAACAACAGGTCCTCCAAGACCAGACTTGGATTTTGCATCTGAAAGGTGAAGGACAAGGGTTATATAAACCTTCGTGGCAACCACTTGTGATTTGGCCTCTCTCTCAAACACCACCTTGTTTCCTAGGCAAAACATCCCACTGGTTAAGTCATTTTACTATTTGACAGTTGTCCCTTGATGGTTTCTTTCTGCCCAGCAATATTTCTGTAAGTATCGCACATTTAAATTATATCCCATGCTGGAAAAGTGATTTTAGAGCAATAAAAAGCATTTTCCAGCTCCAGTTAAAAGCAGATGGAGGTCCTCTGAAGTACTTGTAGAGTCAGAAGAGACTCCAGGGCTCCAGAAGCTATGGTAAAAACTATCTCCTTGTTCTAAACACATCTCTTGGGTGACCCTGCAAACATACCTGTTGTTTTGGGGATGAAAATGAGCCAGTGCCGTAGGTGGGTAGAGTCAGTACAGCTAAAAGGTACAGAGCTGGTATTTTTATGTATATCTCTTAAGAGTTCTGGAGTTCTTTATAAGAAAATGAGCAAGATGTAAGGCTGAACTCAAAAAATCAGCAGTTAGAGAACACGATTACGACCAAATATCCATGTCCCAAAGTTTGCAAGGAGTTAGAGACCCACATGCTGTTTCTACCCTCCCATTGCACTGCAGTCTCATGACAGCAAGAGGCAGAGCAGACTGAAATCCTTCATCCAAGTGTCTTTGGGAGGTTAGAGGGAGGGTGATGAGTGGAGTCTACAAGAAAGCAGGGATGGTGCTGGTGGACTTGTGGCGCCCGCGGTGCTGCTGCAGAAAGGAGCGAGAGGGAAGAGCAGGGAGCTGATGAGTGACCAGATGGTGCCCTGTTTCTCCTCCCCACAGCCCTCCACCTCATCAGTCGCCTCAGATGAGAAGGTTGACTACGTGCAAGTGGACAAGGAGAAGACGCAGGCGCTTCAGAGCACCATGCAGGAGTGGACTGATGTGCGGCAGTCCTCGGAGCCTGCCAAGAGCACGAAGCAGTAGTGCCTGCGGCAGGCAGCGAGACAGGAAAATGTCCTGTTGGTTTTCCCCAGCTGCGGCCCCGCTGGGCAGCCATATCCACTTGGGCTGGATTTCTAAGACTTGTCTGTGGAGGGGAGGGGGTGTCATTTTTTTTTTTCTCTTAAAACAAAACAAAACTTAGTTTCAGGGGAAGACTTGGCAGATACTGTTTGCCGGTGATAAAGACCAACTATGTTCGGTGGCTAGGTTTGTGCTTTAGCTGCTGGATGCACTGTCCAGGAACTTTGACTTAGCAATACCAGGTTTCACCCTACACATCTTTTCCTAACAGCTATTAAAGCCACCTTGTATGTGCTAACACTGCATCATCTCTCCCCATCTTCTTCCACATCTTACCCTAAACCATGCCACGCAGGTTTGCAGCATCTCCCATAGGATATCCTTCCCCAGCTCTGATTCTCCACTCCTTATGGTTGTCCTCTTCTCTGCCTCCTCCCAGTCCCAAAACTGAGCAAGGACCATTGCTTTTGAAATCACTTTTGTTGTCCTGTCTCTTGTAAATAATATGCTCAAAACCTCTGAAGGCTGTTCTCCTCCTGGCTGGACAGCCCCCGAGGTTTTGGTTGGGGTTGTTAACCTTCAGGAGCTTGATGAGCATCCACACCATCCCACTGAGCTCACTTAGGAGCCCAGAACTTGCCCCATCATACACACACATACACGCCATCACATGCTCACATGAGTTTGTTGGGGTGTCTTCTGTTTATATTCTCCCATCATCTCTCAAAGTCAGTGGGCTGGAGAGAATGGCTTTGGAAGGGGCTGGAGGGATTGGCTTTGGAAGGCAGAATTTAAGCACTGACCCACTGCCTATCTAAAACCAGTTCCTGTGAGTCTGACCCTAAAACCCAAAATTTGCCTTTTGTGGCACCAAAAGAAGCCCATAGAGTGAGAATCCTACATCATGGCCATTGTGAGAAGCTCTGTGGTTGAGTGTGAGGGGGGAAGGGAGGCTCTGGAAACCCTGCGTATGTGGACTGGCACAAGGATGAGTGACAAGAAGGGAGTGGAAGGCTGCTGCAAGGACTGGGAGAAGGCAGGTGCTGTACTGCAGAGGTTGGGTGAGGAGGTCTGGTGGAATGTTTCTTGGGAGAAAGAGGAGTAATTGAAATGTTGGTTGATGGTGAGGTCATAAGCTTGGGAAGAGGCTGGTCAGGAGATTCAGGGCAGGGCGTTTCAGTGTGAGCTTTAAGGTAGCATTGTGGTTGGTTTGTGGAGGGTGCAAAAGGCCGAACTGTTTTCCCCTCATCTTCAGCAATGTTTCTTCAACACAGAAGTGGGGCTTGCTGACATTAATGACCCTGTGCTCTAATTATGGGTGGGAGTCTGCCGTTGTCCCTTGCCAGCATCCTTAACACATCCATTGGGATCGCTCACCAGGCAGCTGCTGAGCACAGAGAGAAGGACGAGACAGTTTAATACAGAGATAATAATTCATGACCTCATGAAAACAGGAAGAACTAATGATTGCCATGGAGCAGCCTGATTGCCAGACAGCAAGCGCTGACACGAATAAACAGGCTGACCGCAAACCAAGAGCCAAGTGAAGGAGACATTAGAAAGATTAGGTAATAATATTTATTAAATAGCTGGAGCTATTCTTTCTGCAAGCTGAACCCCTCCCAGTGCTGTGGGCTCTGTGTTCCAGCAACACCACCAAGTTATATTGATTATTAATGCTTAAGCATTAGCACGTTTGCTTAATCTTGGTCTGAGCTTGGAAAGGGCCAGGTGTGACCCACATGGGGATAGGATACCAGTCCTTTAAGGGCTGTGTGCTGCTGTGTGCTGGTAAAATAAGTCCTGAACTTCCAACACCATTTTGTATTTTCTTCTCACCCCCCAAAGCCTCAAAGGGGAAGCTTTAGCACAGTTATATGCTTTCTGAAGGTCAGGGGGTGTGTTACAGCCTTCAAGGGCCATTGGCCCCCTTTTGGGGGCTTGCACACTTGCCTGGTGAAATGACGAATTAAGACTAGAATGCAGTACTTCATATTTCTATTGCCCCTTTCATCTCTGCATCCCAGGGGAGACTAAGCATTGGGCTTGATCCAGAGCCCACTAACGTGTGCATTCACCCATCTGGGAGAGAGCTCCCCATCTTCACCAAAAGGAATGTTACTCTGCTAGGAAGCTGATTTTTTCCTATTTCTTCTTCTAAGCTGTTAGCTTTAGTGGCAAAAGGGAGAGCACAGTGGGTTTAAATGCAATTTGCTGAGAGGGCACCCTGTGCTCTGGGACTAGGTGCATCCAGTGCCCACTCCCACATTTAATCCAAGGCATTAATTAAGACTGGAAAAGCCTTTTGTGGTACTGGAGAAACTAGTCCTTTTTCTCCACGTTTCACAAATGTCTTTGTTCTTGGGGCAACCACTGGCATGGGATAGCTCTTTTCCCAGGCTCACTGTGTTTTGGTAATTTGCTCTCATGAATATCCCCAGTAACTGGTCCATTTCATTTGGCAGACTACAGACCAAAACAGCCCAAAAGTAGCTACTTAACAACTGCTGGTTGCTGGCCTCTCTCTGCTTTGCAGTGAATTCTGTGTTTTCACTGAAACAGATACATTCCTCTAGCATTTCCCCTGCAAAGCACCAAGCAAACCACACCACCAAACTAAGCAGAAGCCCACAGACTCTGTGCCATATAGACATGACTGTATCAACCCCCCCTGAAAACATTAAGTAATCAATGGCTTCAGTGGAAACAGTCACCCATGATGATTGCCAAGCTGATTACAGCAGTCCCTGGTGATTAATGTTTGTGCAGTATTTAGTCTTAAACCATATTGAAAAGCAGCTGCTTTAATTACACAGACTGCCAAGAACTTTGTCCTGAAGGCATTGAGTTTATCACATCCACTTAATACTTGGATTCTCAAGTATGACAGGCTCCTTTGTTAGAAATAGGTATTTAAGGAAACTGAGAACATTGCAAATTATTCATTTTAATTGAAATTAAACTGGCTTGAGCCTTCACGTCAGAGCCTGCTTACAGCTCTGTGGTCTGATTTAGAAAAGGGATGTGCTTGCATGTGTGTGTGCTCATGAAGAAGGGTTGTCTCTAGGAAAAGCATCATGACCTCAATATTTAGTTTCATGAAGCACCAGGTCCATGGCTCAGAGCTTTTCCCAAGCTTGAAAATGACTAAGCAGATGGTTTTAAAGGCAAAAGTCTCCAAAAGTATGTATCCCTTGCTGTGAGTGTGCAAATGCTGCACACCGTTCCTGATGAGATGTGTGAGCTGCCTTGGAGCTGATTTGCTCTGAACTGGCATTTGAGTGTTCAGTGGGAAATAACATTTCCAGCTCTAAATGGATGCCAGGCTTAGTCTTAGTCTCAAGTTGGCGAAAGAAAATAATGTGTGAGCACAGACTGTGCCAGGGCAAAGCTGAGAGTCTGGCAGATGGGGCCAAATGCAGAGTTGGAAACAAAAGGTGGGGAAGGCTTGGCTTGTCTGGGAGCTAACTGGGATGGATTTGAACTCTGGGCCACCAGTCACTGGCAAGGGTGAGATATGGGAGAAAATGAGGCTGGGACGAGAGAAGGCAGGGGGGTTTACCATTTACCATTAAGGTTCTCACCATGTGCTCCTTTGGCCTGAGTCTCAAGTCAGGTATGCGGAGATTGTGGGTTGTGGAATGCTCAGTAAAAGCCATGGTGGGAGTGGAGCTTCCACCGCCCTTGAGCATTTCAGTCTCAAAGGGTTCATCCTGCCATTGTGATGCCTGTGCTCTGGTGTTCAGGCATGCTTGGTCCATTCACCCAGCTCTGAGGTGGGCTGGAGAAACCCTACAAGAAATGTGTGGAGACCAGCACATGCTGGGGACATCTTGCTGAGGGGCTTCTGTGAGCTGTTCATAGGGCAGCAGTGCCATGGTTTTACAGGGTTGTCCCTTGAGGTGCCATCTTCATCCTTGGAGCTTTTCAAGACCAGTCTACGTCAGATAGCTGACCCTGCTTGGAGCATCTTTTTCACACTGAGACCCTGTGCTGCCAGGGTTGAGTGGAGACTCCTCCATGTGAGGGAAGGGGCCCAAGGGTTTTCCTAGAGCCCTATAACATCCAAGACAGGGACAGGGCCACTTCTCTGGCCATGAAGCCAAGTTCAAGGCACACAACTCAACCCCTAAGGCCATACTCCCCAGTGAGAAGACCTAATCCACACTGGGCCTTCCCTTGCACCTGGGAGAGAGCTGGCTGGCCCAGAACAAGTAATCCAGGACATGGACAGGCTGTTCCAGCAACTAGGAGACAGCTTGAATCTGTAAATTTGTTAGGCTAGATCCAGAGCTCTCAGAAAACCCATGCCACCACCACACCTTGGCATACCAGGAAGAGTAGGCTTGTTTTGGCTATCCAATGATCATAGCTCCTTGGGTGGGGAGGAGGGTACAGCCATGTCCCAGTCCTATGGAAGATGTTAAAATAGTTCCCAGGTCCTGTCTGATTTTTCTGGCCTAGGAGGCAAGTAAAAGGATGGTTTTCTCAAGTCGTGCTTGCACTGTGTTGGTGTTTTCCCACCTGGTTATGTAAAAGTTCCATTCCATGTAAAAGCTGACACCCACACTGTGTGTGCCACTGGAGGGAATGCTGTATAGATGAGATGGATGCAGTGGAGCTGTGATTATGGAGAAGCCCTAGTTCTACAGGAAGGGGGAATGGCAAAGCCTAATCCTGGCACCAGCCAGAGAACACACATGGCTGTCAAAGAGCCATCAAGGAAATCAGAGGAACCAGTCCAGCATCAAATCACAAGGGCCAATAACCCAATTTAGGGCCTCTGATGAGTCTGTCTCTTCTCTGTCCAGCCTTCCCACATGTACACAATGATCTTGCAGCTGTTAATGGGGCTCTTGCAAGTCAAGACGTGCACTTTTTGATCGTGATTCCTCCTTGGCCTGGAGCAGTTCAGCCCTCTATCAGCCTGTCCTTGGTGTCTCATCATTGTAGTCACAATTTTATCTCCTTGTTCACAACTCCTAGTGTTGTTCTGTTGATCAGGTTTAGATGATTTAGTGTTTACTCTTGAGAAAAGTTGATATGTAGCAAGGTGTCACAATATAGCTGTCCCCTTCCAGCCCACGGCCAGCTGGTCCTGGTACGTGGTGTTCAAGTTTTAACACCAGCCAGTAACATCTGAAACAGAAGCTGGGCCCCATGGCTACATCTCTAAAAAAGCTTCTCAACAGACTTGCTCCAAATCAGCAGGCTCTTAATTTTTGATGCAGCCCATTTCTAACATGTAATGGGTTCATTTGTAGGCCAGTGGGTTGACCATATGGGAGAGGTTTGCCCCAAGACCAGGAGATAAGAAACCATCATTTTTATTGTCATTCTCTGGGTGACACCACACCGTAACTTCATGTGGGACGAGAGGGTTCATGTGAACTCTGTATCCTGCTTTTTCTCCGGCTTGTAAAATGAAGGTTTTTAGTACTTATTTCCCCACCTCACAGATGTGTCATGAGCTGTAATTAGTTGACATCTAATAATGCAAAGAGCTGTTTTGAGTCTGCAGGCAATGGCTGGGCAGCATGTGGTGCTACCCTGTTGTCATGCCCAGCATCATACACAGCACTGGAACATCCCACTCTGCAAAACTCATTAAAAACCCCTTCTTCCTTAATTACCCAAGGTGAAAAAAAAACTTGGCAGGATTTTCTTCTGAGTGAGAGTGGTGGGGGAAATACCATTTGCACAGTTTTCAGTGTTCTGCTGCCACATTGACCCTGAAAAATAACATGTTTTGTATGAGAGCAGTTTGGATGTGGAGGTTGAACCGCGTTGCAGAGAGGGGAAGGGAGCAGGACCCTGGGCTCCACAGGGAGCCTGTCGATGAATCCCATAGGGTTAGGACCAAACCTTTAGAGTAGTTAGATCCCACTCAACCCCGCCCTTGGCAAAGTCAACATGTCCCCGCTGACTTGGGGC